TAATCAAATTCTTCTGTGGAAAGAAGAAAGAGAAGAAAGACACAAGCCAACCACAACACATCCTAATTGACACAGGCTGCTATTAAGCGCATGTGTCATTCTGTACTGAAATCATCAAGAAATGCCACAGCACTTCTAATCTGCTGGGCCCATTCTACAGAAAGGTACAGTCAAAACAGTCTGTTTTGCGAATGTGCACAATTTAATCCTTGTAGTGCAGCAGTACCCAGAAATTTGAAGCTTCTTTTGCACTTGGACAGAACCTTGGACTCTAAGTCTCCAAGACTAAATAAAATCTTGAACAATGCTGCAAAATAATATGCTTCCCTACTACAGGTCTAGTATTTATATTAATTTACCTTCATCACCAGCTTGTGTCTTTGAAGGCATCCTGTTCATATTTCTTGGAGTTCGAGGTGCAGGTTTAGTTTTATTGGTCTGTTTTGAGATAAGCTTTATAGGGATTCTTCTACGAACATCAAGACCACCCAATGATCCTGAACTATTTGTTCCTTGCAAATCATTGTCTATGAAAGAAAAAAAAAGTTAATGTAATTTTTCAGTTATCTAATAGTTTCTAAAGACACTAAATATTAACAGAAGAGTTTTAAGAAAAACAATTTTTAAAGCTTGTTTGAGACTCATGCAACATATCGAAGTTTAATCACTAAACACCTTCACATACAGTTTATTGTAGAAATCAAGTCACAAAACTGTATTGGGAGCAACCCTGATTTTAGGAAATCTACTTCTAAAAATAAAGCTATTTTAAAAAGTTAGCTAGTCTCACTTCTCCACAACATGAAAAAAACATTAACTGCACAGCTCCTCTCACAGCATGAACAGCACTGAAAAGTCAATTCTTTGTACAACCTTGACAACACAGAACTTAGGAGAAAAAGTAATTTTTACAATTTATGTAAATTGTTTCTTAAATTTGGAAAGAAACTAGTTCCCATCTTGACATATCAGCATCTTGAAATATCACTTCAAAATTTAGCATAAAGTATCACAAAAATATCGGTACTTAAGAGTATGTAATAGTATCATCGCTGAACTGTAAAATTTTGTTCCCCAATACATACAGATTTCTCTTTAACCAGATTTAAATACGAGTATTAGGGCAAAGGAAGCAAGAAACAGCCTGACACGTGCATCAGTAGATACAGGCTCCAAGAGATAATCTACAGGGGGTGTTGCAACAAGCAACAGCAACAAAGGGGACACAACTCACTCAACTTCCAGTGACTGTACCTTAAACCACTGCCTGGCATCTCATTAGTACAAAAACAAAGTTACATCCTTCATGAATCTATGCAGCTGACTTTCACATTAATTGAAAATGCCATTTTGACAGCCATTTCAAAGCAGGACACGTTCAGCCTTGAAGGGGTGTGTCATAAGCCACCAAAACTATGAACTGTGATGAAGTGTCAGGTCAGGACTGTGCCCTGACAGTCACTCTATCTCAAAATCAAGAGCCCTCAACTTCCTCAGGTAGATTAAATGTATCTATTCCTCTTAGGGCTGTTGACACATTGCACTCTAAAAGGCAGTATGTAAAAAGGCACGAACAATAAAGCCTGTTTTTACTTTTGTTCATTTATTGTTTTTGTTTAGGCTGTCCTGTTGGCTAAACAGGTGACCCAGCAAACGTACAACTACGACACCAGGCTTCCCCAGAGACTGATGGACTAGAACATCAGAGAGAATAATGCTAAAGCTGTCTATTTTCTACTTTTGGGGAAATTCTGTTTTCTACCAGAATACACAAAACCGCAACACCATAGACAAGAAAAAGTCTCTGCAGGACCTCAATCTATTTGCAAATAAAACATTATTTTTTTTAAATAGACCCTTCTGTGTTATTCAGTTCCTTGAGCTGCCAACAGGAAACCACTAAGTTCTGATGCTTTTCTTCCATATACTTCTGCAAGCTAGAAATATTTACATGAGTTAGCTGCTCAACTAATCCAAACTAGCAAGTTTATTAGTCATTCATGTTTCACAAAAGGATAACAAATTCCAGTCTGGGCAAGAAGAACTAGCACGTTAAAGTCCAGAACAAAAATATGAAAAGCATACCAAAATTGTTAAGACTACTTAGAGGAGCTCTAACTAGAGGTGATACACGCTCCCGAACTGTCACCTTCATCAACTTTTTTTAAATTTTATTTTCGCGCTTTTTTTAAAATTCATAGATACAGCTCAAATACTATACCTTATATGTATATAGTGCAATCTTTGCTAAGGGGAAGAAAAAAACAAACAAACAAACAACCCTAGCAAAAACCCCACTGCCACTCATTTATTCCCTGGACTACACCAGCACACTAACCAGCAAAGTATCAAAGCTACAAAACCAAATTTAAATACATGAGAAAGTTTCCTCTCCAAAGCACAATTACCCAACCAGAAAACACGTTATCGGCACCGATCTTGGGAAACGCAGCAGGCAAACGAGCGCCTCGACGCCACCTCCCACACGCTACCAGCCTCATCCACCTGCTGCAGGCCGACGGGC